AAATTAGGTTTTCGTCATGCACGTTTAACTATACCTAAATGGTTACAGCGTGGTATTATGGATCCATGTGAACAATCAATGACTGTCGTACAATTATTTCTTATATTTCTTCTACCTGAACGATTTAAAGAAATATGTATGAGACAGTAGGACTTATATTAAAAAAAATACTACTACGCAATTATTAATCTAGCTCATCAATGCATTTATTCCCTGTTATATGTACTCTAGTCGTTTGCTTTACATTCTGTATAAACGAAATAGACGTAAAATATGTTCTATATGATGTTTTTTTCTCTTCTCTTCATGAACTCGTTATTTTTGCATTCTTTTTTTACGAAGAAATTCAATCTAATAGGTTCGTGCTTCATTTTTGTGCGTAACCGTGTGATAAATAACTAAATAAAATGTGTGTTTTATTATTATTCAAATATAAAATTATGAACAGTTAATAAACTCAGTTTATTATCCTTTTTTTTTCTTAATAAATAATTTTATTGAGAATAAATCACTTGCAGCATATTAATTTCATGATATTCAGTAAAATATAGTTGGAATAAAAAATGAATGAAATCCAGAAATATGACGGAAAAGCTTGAAGGATCCAGAATTTTTGTGGATTTTTGGGACCATCTTTGGATCAGATAAAATACGTTGTACGGTTTCTCGGACAAAGATTAGAAATAATAAATAAAGAGAATATTGGATATTTTACGAATCTGATATGGCCGTCGTGATAGCTTCGCATCAATGAACTTGTTTTTTTTATGTGTTTCTTCCTCCTGAAAATATTATTTTCAAAAGTAATCAGGTGAAATTTGTCCTTGAGCGATGACAAAAAAAACACGCATTCGAAGTCATGAAAAAATTGGAAAAAAACCAAGTCACTGTCTATATAAATAGACGAGACGAATTTTAACTTTCTATGAAATCAATCTGTGGTGATTTCAGACCGAGCGTAGAGTAGTATAAGATTTATCATATACGTATACTTTATTCTTCGAAAGAAATCGCCTGCTAACTGAATATTCCTCGTGCCTCGTATAGCACTCGAAATATTCAGTGACGTCACACACAAAGGAGAGACGTCAAAAGGTAATAGTCCAGAAAGCATGACAATTATCAAAAGGTAATAATACTGAAAACATGACAAAAACTAATAGTATCGAATACGTGACAAATATTGAAGTGCATATTGAGAAGAGAGACCAGGCCATCGCTTGGCTTGGAACACAACCATTATCAATTTCATTCCACATAAAGAACTAGTTTACACTTCAAAGTGACATGGATGCACAAAAATCGGAAGAATATCTTGCAACAACAGCAAAATCAATGGTATCATCTAATATTCGTCAAGCACGACAACGTATGGCACGAAACTACCTTCTCTTATGGGTAGATACCAGCATCGATCAAACAAACGAAGAGTATGAAAATATATCGAAACAAATACGAGCTATTACCGGTGATGTCAATGTCTTTACGCAACACGATGCATGCATCGACTTTCTTACAGATGCTCAAGAAGACATTAAATCTTTTCTCATTGTCAAGGATACTATGTCTCAACAAATAATGCCTCTCATTAATGACATTCATCAGCTGGGTGGTGTTTATATCTTCGATGATATTAACATCCTCCATGAAGAATGGTCAAAAAAATGGCAAAAAATCAAGAGCGTTCATACCAACATCGATGATCTATGCCAAGCATTAAAAATCGGTATGAAGCAGTTCAATCAAGACTCAATATCCATAAGTTTTATCACAGCAAATGAAATGGCTTCGACTACTAATCTGGATCAATTGGAGCCGACATTTATGTACACCCAAATATTCAAGGATATTCTTCTTCATATGGAGCACGGTAAACAAGCCATCAAACACTTTACTGCTTATTGCCGAAATAATAACAGCTTATCGCCAATCAATATTGATCGTTTTGAGAAAGAATACCATGCTCAATTAGCTATTTGGTGGTATACTTTTCCATCGAATATCTTTCCTGTGCTCAATTATGCTCTTCGAACAATGGACGCCGAGGTAATTATTACTATGGGATTTTTTCTACGTGATGTACATGAACAAATTCAACAGCTGTATGAACAACAGGTCAATAGTTATGATGGAAAGTCTTTCAAAGTATATCGGGGACAAGGTCTTATGAAATCAGACTTCGAAAAACTTCAGAAAACAAAAGGTGGACTACTGTCATTTAACAATTTCTTGTCCACCAGTAAAAACGAAGTGGTGTCCCTCGGTTTTGCACACGCTGCTTTAACAGAACCAAATAAAGTTGGCATTCTGTTTATAATATCCATTGATCCTTCCGTTAAGTCAACACCATTCGCGTCCGTCGAAGAGCAGAGTTATTACCAGGGACAAGAAGAAGAAATTCTCTTCTCAATGCACACCGTGTTTCGTGTGGGTGCGATTGAACACATGAGCATTGAAAATCAACTTTACCAAGTTGAATTACAATTAACATCGGATGATGATCAACAATTACGATTACTGACTGATCGAATACGAGAAGAAACTAGAGGTGTCACTGGATGGCAAAAATTGGGTAGCTTGTTACTTAAAATTGGTCAGTTTAATAAAGCTGAAGAGCTTTATAGCGTATTACTCGAACAGACATCTGATGAGGGCGAAAGAGCGCTTTATTATAATCAGCTAGGATGTGTCAAAGATGATCAAAGTGATTATGAAAAGGCTACTCGGTACTATCAACAAGCACTTAAAATTCTAGAAAAAACTCTTCCCTCTAATCATCCTGATTTGGCTACTTCATACAACAACATCGGCAGTGCGTATGAACACATGAGAGAGTACTCGAAAGCACTTTCATACTACGAAAAAGCACTTGAAATTAAACAAAAAACGCTTCCTTCAAATCATTCTTCAATGGCTACCTTATACAACAACCTTGGTTTGATGTATACCAATACGGCAGAATATTCGAAAGCACTTTCATATTACGAAAAGGCACTTGAAATTTACCAAACAACTCTTCCTTCGAATCATCCTGACTTGGCTACCGCATACAACAACATCGGTTTCCTGCATAACCACATGGGAGAGTACTCGAAAGCACTTTCCTCTTATGAAAAAGCCCTGGAAAACTATCAAAAAGCTCTTCCTTCGAATCATCCTGATTTGGCTACTTCATACAACAACATCAGTGTGATGTATGCCAGCATGGGAGAGTACTCAAAAGCATTTTCATGTCACAAAAAAGCACTTGAAATTCGAGAAAAAATTCTTCCTTCGAATCATCCTTCATTGGCTACTTCATACAACAATATCGGGCTGATGTATAATAAGATAGGAGAGTACTCGAAAGCACTTTCATCTCACGAACAAGCACTTGAAATCTATCAAAAAACTCTTTCCACAAATCATTCTGATTTGGCTACTTTATACAACAACTTTGGTAGTGCGTATGACGACATGGGAGAGTACTCAAAAGCACTTTCATACTACGAAAAAGCACTTGAAATTAAAAAAAAAACTCTTCCGTCAAATCATCCTTTATTGGCTACCTCATACAATAACATCGGTTTGTTGTATAACAATATGGGAGAGTATTCAAAAGCACTTTCTTCTTACGAAAAAGCACTTGAAATTTTCAAAAACACTGGTCTTTCAAATCATCCTTTCGTGGCTACTTCATACAGTAATATCGGTTTAGTGTATGACAACATGGGAGAGTACTTGAAAGCACTTTCATATTACGAAAACGCACTTGAAATTGAAAAAAAAACTCTTCCTTCGAATCATTCTTCATTGGCTACTTCATACAACAACATTGGTAGTGTGTATGACCAGATGGGAGAGTACTCAAAAGCACTTTTATCTCACGAACAAGCACTTAAAATTCGACAAGAAACTCTTCTTACGAATCATCCTGATTTGGCGCAGTCGTACAACAATATCGGTAGTGTGTATAACAACATGGGAGAGTATTCAAAAGCACTTTCTTCTTACGAAAAATCACTTGAAATTCGACAAAAAGCTCTTCCTTTAAATCATCCATTAGTGGCTACTTCATACAGCAATATTGGTTTAGTGTATGACAAGATGGAAGAGTACTCGAAAGCACTTTCATATTACAAAAGCGCACTTGAAACTCAACAAAAAGCTCTTCCTTCGAATCATTCTTCATTGGCTATTTCATACAATAACATCGGTAGTGTGTATGACCACATGGGAGAGTACTCAAAAGCACTTTCATCTCACGAACAAGCACTTGAAATCTTTCAAAAAACTTTTGCTTCAAATCATCCTTCATTGGCTACTTCATACAACAACATCGGTAGTGTGTATAACCACATGGGAGAGTACTCAACAGCACTTCCTTTATATGAAAAAGCGCTTGAAATTCGAGAAAAAACGCTTCCTTCAAGTCATCCTTCGTTGGCTACCTCATACAACGGCATCGGTTTGGTGTATGACAACCTAGGAGAGTATCTAAAAGCACTTTCATACTACGAGAAAGCAATTGAAATTCGAGAAAATGCTCTTCCTTCAAATCATCCTGATTTGGCTACTTCGTACAGCAACACTGCTAAATTATATAACAATATGAAAGACTACGCGAAATCACTATCATATTATGAACGTGCTCTAGACATATGGCAGCATGCATCATCTGGAGCTGATCCTCATCTAAAAAGTGTGCAAGAGTGTATTGAAAATGTAAAAGAAATGTTAAAGAATAGTTAATAAATAAATAAACGAATATTTTGTTCACTTACTTTTAAAATTGTTCTATTTTTTAGTGTCTCACGCGCGCGTGCAGAGAACAGTTCCGTAAATAATAGAAACGTAATAGACAAAACCGACTGATAAGGTCATACACACACATAGATATGTGTATGAATGTTCTTCTCAGACAGATTTACATTTTTAACTCTTTAAGACACTGCCTCCTATAAGAAAAAGAGGAAAGACAATGTTACCTTAAATAATGGTCGTAGAATAAAACAATCTAAAAAAGAATAACTTATATGGAATTAAATTGTAGTAGTGTTGAACGAGATTTCGTATGATGAAGAAAAAGTTAAGGAAACTGCGATATATATATATACTAATATGTCACCAACATATGGGTTAATTGAATCGATTTATTCGTATTCATCATTGATGAGAAACAAATGAAAAGAATAATGATTTATTCAAGATATGTACGGATGAGTTTGGATATATTAAAAATATGACGAATTATAATTTTGTTTTAAATTTTTGATGGATAATCTTTTATAATCCTTTGATTTCGGATTCAAAGTAAGTGAGATACTGTTTTATGAGATGTCTTACAAAGATTTCTCAGCGCAAAATAAAGCAAAATAAGAATGATTTTTTATCAGTCAGTTGCATACCTGTATTTATACTGCAGCAAGTTTGATAAAACTAAATTCAAGCACGATATATGAATTTTTATACAGTATATTGCATGGTAAAAGATACAAAATCATCACAATCAATAGCTAATCTTATCTCCTTTCGTGTCAATCATAGCTAAATATCGTGCTTTCATCGACTTCATCAAATTCTTTAGAAGAGGCAAGTCGATATTGTTCTATTCCTCATACAGAACTCTCTCTAGATCACCGAGATATGATGATTTCTGCTTATCGGCACGGTGATTGAGAATCGATCGAAGGGTTTTTTATTCGACGACCAATCATTCATTTCGGATGACTTTTCCGTAGGCACTACTTCATTATTCAACTTCGGTGTTTGAAATTATTGTCTTACTACAAGTGTCAGTATCGATCTATTTTGTAATTTACATAGCTATATGTCTATCTCATCGCATCTTCTAGAGATATACATGCAGAAAGTTGATTTGTGCATATTGCTGTATCTTATTTCAAGACTTTTAGTTAGTACTACAAACGTCTTGAATGTGAGGGTGTGGATATGGCTGCCCCTGTTTAACCTAACTCGCTCCCACACCCTCAATCAAAGCGATAAAAATCAGAAGATCTCTGTGTATTTTACGTCTTCATGTTTTACATGCAAAAGCAAAAGATGAGTTTAACATCAGTAAACGTTCAAATCGATTTTATTTTTATTCACATTCACAGAACAATATATTAGATTTAATTGAAATTTTTTTGAATAGTTTTGTACTTCTATGAATATAAAAAAATATATGACAGTATTTATATTAAGGTTCAGGTGCAACTTGATTAATGTCATTTATTGGCTTACACCATCGTTGAAAATACATCGTGTAAATTACATGAAAGAATTGTTGTCGATATCGCTTTGATACACAAATATAAATGTAGAAAGGTACCTGTCAATGAAATTAACTATACAATTGATAAAAAATTTCAAATGAGATAATTACCGTATAGTATGAATAATAGATACATATTGTTATACCTAAGACTAATTGTATATGAGCATTAATGATAGGATCAATACTGAATTGTATATTACTTGTAAGTGTAGTTAATATAAAGAAAGGTGAAATTAATAAAACACTAATCAAAGCTTGTATAAGAACCATTGATGTTATTTGAATTTCATGTTGACGACGAACAAGAGGTACTACTGTTCGGTAAGATATTTGTTTCATATTTCTATAAAGTAATAATCCAAAAATAATGATAAATAATAGAGGAAATGCATCTAATAAAATCGGAGTATAAAAATGATTGACATAACTTTGATAATTGCTATTTGTAATAGTACAAATAGTTGAATTTGTTGCTGGTGAGAATACTGCATTATAATATATTAAATGAGGAGAACAATAAACTATCCAAAAGAGACTAATTATTGCACATAAACGATAAGCAATCTTTCGATGACTCCATTGTTGTAATCGAATATATTTTGATGTTGCCATATATTGATCAATTAAAGCCATACAAATACATGACATGGAAATAAGTGCACAAATCTGAACAGTATATACTCTTATTGTACAACTACCTACGTTTACATTTATTCCATTGATTAATAATCCTTTAACAAGAATAAGATATAAAAAACCACTCAATAATTGAATGATATTGACTAATGACATTATTATTAAATAAACTCCACATGAATTTTCTCGAAATATTCGAAGACTAAGAAAAATAATTATATTTAATATTCCACCTAAAACTCCAATAATGACAATTGGTAAACCAGCATAAACATAGATTTGACTAGAAATATAATTTATTGATGAAACTATTGGAGAAGACATTGGTGATTGAAAACTAACAGATGATTTTCTTATCTGAAATTAGATCTACATCCATAATATACGTGTTTCATAAATAAATGAACTGAGAATGCGATTTCAATGTCATCTTGTAATCCTGAAAAAATAATTAAATAATAAAGATTTAATTCTAAATCCATCTAGTTAATGATTTTTGAAATATTCTTCAAATTAATTTCGTTAAGTAAGAAAAGTAATTTTACACTTAAAAGAAATTAAAAAAAATAACAGAAAAATCTTTAATTTTTTTAAATTAATTTCTGTCAATCATCATAATAAATAAGGATTTTTCTATTAAGTAATTGTCATAAACAGAGAAAATAGCGAGAATATGTAGTTTTTCTGATAAGATTAATAAATTTTGAAGGACATCAAACTTTTATAATATCTCACTTTATTGTGTCGCTGCTCAGCTTGTACGAGCGTGATGCGATGACGTTTTGGCACACTTTTTTCTACTTTTCCTCAGAATAATATCAACTAAAACACTCTTTTTTCCAGAAACGTATATCTCTATTACCTTTATATCTCCTAAAAATATCAGCTTACAAAAGTGAATAGTTTAGGAATAGATGCAAAAATTGTGGATTGTATTCAAGGAAATGTTCTAAGCACGTTTTGTAATCAACAGTTTCAAATATCTAATGAAGAAAAAATATCCTTCGAACAGATTTATTATGTTGAAAACAGATCGGTTGGATTAACGTAACGTGATGATGATGACTTTTGTAACCATTTTTTCTGTTCTTCGTTTTATAATATAAACAACTCTGTCAAGACAAGATATTATTTTTATTCTACCGCTTAGAATATATATCATAGAAACGGTAGCGAATTTAGACTAGTAATTTAATTTTAATTAAATGCAGTAGATTTATCAGATCAATCAGCTTTATTCTTATGGCAATCTGTTAGTGGCCAATAAAAAACGTCATCGTGTTATATAAAACTATTTTAAAACACAATCTTTTTCGGATAAAAATGCGTGCATCAAATAGCCTATGAAAAACTAGCTGTAGATATATATTGTTTGTAAAAAAAAAGCTGATATTAACAGTGAAGAAAAAACATTACTCATTTTTCGTTACGCGATGACGTTATAAATAGTGTGGTTCTGATTATGGTTCGATTATGTCAAACTGTTCAGATATACGTGTTAGATGAACTCATGATCCAAATAGAGGAACTTTCTGTGTCTATTAGTAATCTCTCTGTCATCAATTATCAAATCCGATTTAAAGCACCTATTCACTGAACAAAATGTTTCCATACACTTTCGACTATGTTCTACGAGGTGGTGACAACGGGTTCTCAAAGGAATGCACTATAGCACCTCAATTGTTTTTTATCGGAATAATGTGGGTATGTGTGAGCAAGAGTATGGGTGTTAAAGAAAAGATGATTAATTTACGCTCAAACTCACTTATTCACATCTACATCCTGAAAAAATGAAAGGGTGTCTTAGGTTATTGTGTAAAAAAAAGTTTTAGAAGCAAACTATAATAATATATTCAATTTTCAGAAGTGAGAAACATTTTTTAAATCAGAGTGTGACTCCGAAAAAGGAATCTGTGATTATAAAAAACAGTCAGAATGATTCACAAATGAAGCAGTATTCATTTTAATAATCGAAATGGCTTAGGTACAGAAAATAAAGGCATTGGAATTAACATTTTTTTGTTACTCGCTTTATTGGGTATTTTCTAGTAAATCCCACACAACTTGACGACTCGATCAGGACAACGCTGATTTAATAAAATAAGCAAATCAAGTGGTTGTCTTTTGATGATATGTTTATCTTTAGTACATTCACTCTATTCTTATATTGTTAGCGAATGAAATACAAGAAAGTAAAATGAGTGTTGAAAATTTTATGAACAAAGAACAAACTCAATTCGTTGTAGTAATTGAGAAAAAATCTATTGAGTTTTTACAATCAATACGACAAAGGTAGAAACTCGCGTCCATTCATCAAATTCTGAATAAGAGAGTTTTTATTGAATCTTTGCGATTGATACAACTCATCATGAATAATTACGTTTGTCTGCAATTCTTCGTAATCCTATGACAGATATTTAGAAGTTCTTTTCGATAGGTCGGTGATGGTATTACGAAAATGAAGATAACAGACGAGAGCGGAATGAACGACACAATATATCCGATTAAGTATATATTTCTCTGCCAATCGTAATCCATACAAGCGAATGCAAATGTAAAAATAAGTCTAGGTAAACCAAAGAGTACAAGTAAGACAGGACTAATCACGAATGGTTTATACATTATAATCTCTTTTGACATTATAGCATGAAAATTTTTATGATTTACATTAATGGTTGACTTTACTTTACGACGTGCCTGATGTGTAAGAAAGGAAATAGTCGATACAAAATTAACAGTGAATGGACCGAGGAGATGAATGATATTTAAGACTGATGCATATCGTTCGAGCCATCGATGCGAGGAAAACGTGAGCATGCACCATACTTGTCCTTCTGATTGACGCGGATCTTCGATCATTTGTCGATTAAGTGGTTCATGTATAGATCCCATAATTAAAATTAGAAAAAGAATAACGGTTAGGTATCGAGCGATACGTCGATTTTTGGTTTTGTTATAACTAATCCCGTGTACAACAGTCACTGCTCGATCCATGGCTACGCATGCTGTTAACCAATCAAATATCTTAGGTAATAGACTAAGAAGAGATTCGAGTAACAGACAATTGCCAACGTAAGCAAACATACGTGTTCCGCTCAATACATAAGCGAAGCGAGCAGCAAATATAATCATAGTGATTTCAGCTATAATCGCCGTTATCAATAAATAAAAACCGGATGCTACTTGGTTAATTGCTGATTGAATAAAGACACTAATGGAAAGTGTATTTCCGACAACTGCAACAATAGATATTATGACTACAATACTGACCATGATATTTATAATAATAGGTTGAGATGATAAAGGTTCGTTAACAAGCATTTGTGAAGCAAGTAATGCGTCCAGAGAAATAATGTAATGCATTGTAGTAAACTGACATAATGGACCGTAGAAACATCGAGGACATACACATACGAAATCCAATATATTCTCAGTGTTTGTTTGCAGACATCGACCATTATTCAAGCAAACGGCAACATTCATCGAACAGTTATTCACATCATGCTTAAATACTAAACAATCTATTTGGCGTCGTTGATCGCAAAAACACATATAATATTCATCATGAAGGCATTTCAGTTGAGAATGGCGTGCACATAAGTTATAATAAAATTTACTTCGTTTTAAATGGCTATAGCTTAAGATCGTACGATTTTCATCAAACAGTTCACTAATATGAGGACAACGATTAATAGACTCAATCTTCGTTTGAACTGTGTTCAGTTGCTGTTGATTAGTAAGAAATAAGATCAAGTAATAACTACCGTACAAGTTCTGTACATCGCTAAAAACTTGCGCATAAGCTACTTCTGTTACATAAATCTGTCTAAAATTACAAATAAATAAAATAATAATGATTAGAATGGATATATACGTCCAAACGAAAAAGACTCTAGTTTAATAAAGATCAACATCGAGAGATTACTTTAGCATTTATCTTAATAAAGAACGAATTACTGTTATTAATTAACTGATTAATTTAAATATTAACAACTCATACTGCGCCTATCATTAATTATTCACTAATATCAATTCCAAGAAACTTGCAAAATCAAGCTTAATATTGATATAGCCGCAACAAAAAAAAGACAGTTCATTTCTGCTAATAAATAGCATTGAGGATACAAAAATCTATTTTACTTCCGGTCTAAATTGAATTAGATACGCATAGTTGGAATTAGATCATTAGAGCCTTATTAGTATTTACCACTATACCTATTTTGTAGGTGAACTCTAAACACTCACTTCGCAATGAACAGCATATCATTACATAGATTTTATAAAAATTTCTTGATTATCATCATGCTTCAGGTTTTCGATTGTTTTGAAAAGTGGAAGAAGCAAAATACTCGGCAGAAAGGTTGAAAATTCCGACAGAAACATAATAAAAAATTTCTCGATTTTATTATTTTCTACGAGATTTTGTTGATGGAGAGTGTTTTCATTCGACTTTCTTCAAGAAAAACGACTAATCTTGCGTGGAAACTAGGTTTTGTCGGAATTTATTATAATATTATCGAAGATTTGAAAAAACTTGAGGAAGTTTTTTGTACAAAGTCGCGCATGTTTTGAATTTTCGGTAGAGAAAACAATCTCCATACCTTTCTGAACTGAAACCCTGCACAGGATGTAGAAATCTACGCAATTTGTAACACCAGAAACATAATTATCCATCCTAATTTAAGTGAAACTATGAAAACTCGATTCTATAATGTGCTCGATTCATATTAATAAAAGTCTGAAACAGTAAACTGCTGATTTTGAATGTCATGAAGTTGTTTGTCAAGTCTTTTATATGTCTAGATCGAAAACCGCTTAGAGGTTTTTTGTTTGGTGTAATTATTCTGACTTTTTTTTAAAACTTTCTCATTTTCCAAAAGCATCGTAGAAAATTACGCCTAGACGTTATCAGAGTCAATTAGATATCCAGTATTTAGTAAAGCCGTTCATACCTTGTCAAAACAATATTTACTGGCATACGGTCGAGGCCATGCTTAAACAACATCCGATAAATGGGCACCAGGAAGCCATATGTTTTTCCTATGGAACGGTCGTTGACAGTAAGAAAATGGAAGATGACTGCTTGTATCGATACTTGATTGGGTAAGGCCGATTCAACCAATATCTTAGCCGAAGCAAACTGACAAGAGTCTCCAAAATATCCTGAAGTACATACGCAAAGTACTTGTATGGTACGTTCATCTACAGGAATGCATGTTCCATTATTTTGACAGATAACATTTTTGCATGGATCGTATTGAGCATGGCATGTTGGACCCATTTGACCAACCGGACATACACACCGTTTTTGCTGTACACATAGAGCATATTCAGCGCAACTACAGTTTACTTTAATCTCGCAGTGTATACCTGCCCATCCGTTAATACAGACGCAGTAGCTCTTCTGAAGGTTATTGACGTAGCGTCGACAAGATCCGTGTGATCCACAGTCTATCTCACACGCATATTGTTGATCATTGATGACAAGCAATTGAGCTACACGATTAACGGGTAGGAACACAAACTGAATAGGAAGAAGCCACGATGCTTTATGAACCACTTTAACTGTATTCACTTCATAAGTATCTATGCGAACGAATGCTGCGTGGGCTCCAATAAGGTATAATATATGTTTTTCTGCTGATTGGTTCTGTGGACTGTGTGTAAAATATTCAAAATCAATGATTGTCTCATTGCTGTCGAGTAAGAAACAGAATACGCGTAGAAGAGAATGAGTAGCAAACGATGATTGGCTTTGGATTTGTAGAAAGAGAGTGAGACGATCACTTTGCAATTGACAATGATCTCCATAATAGCTTGGTGGACAAAAGCACACACCACTATTTTTTGGCTTTACTGTAACATAAATACCTCGGTTGCAATACCACGTAGGAAAAGTGGATTCATAGTATTGAGAAAATCGAATACTGTCACTATTTTCAGTTTCTGATGGTAATGTTACTACTGGAGATGACGAGAATGTATAACTAGTCACTATCGGTGGATATGATCGGAAATCATGGAAGGAAAAAGGCTTAAATTCGGAATGCTTTTCGATCATATCACAAAACCATTCATCTTCACCATACTGAATACAATCAATGGTGCCATCACATCGCCTCCAAAGAGGCAGGTTTACTCCATCAGCGCATAAAAAAACATCTTTTTTTGAACATCCACTACATAATGTCCATGGGCATACACGTTCATCGTCATTTGTTCTAGTACAATCTGTACTGCCGTCACATAGATGGTCCACTGATATACATAAAGAACTATTTGAACCACATCGAAATCGAAACCTGCCTGACATTCCCAAGTTATCAGAAGAATATGGATTTTGATGCTGACAATAGCCAACTCGCTCATCTGTTGCACCTAAACAATCTACTTTACCATCGCCGGATCGATTCATAGATAGACAACCCATAGTTTTTGTGGATATATTTATACATATATGTTCATCGGGAGCACATGACAAGAAGTTTTGAGCAATTTTTGTTGCAGCCAAATGTGAACAGTTGAGCTCGTCTCGCCCATCTGGACAATTCCAAAAACCGTTACAACGTTTGGAACGTGAGTTACATGGCCATTCAGCGCAGTTTGTTTCGTCTGTTTCGTTGTCAGAATCGATCGAAATTTGACGCCATACAATCCCATCACATAAACTCTATAGAAAAAGAATCATTTTCTTTCAAGCTATTTTTTGCATGAAACTCGTAAGAACACTGTATAATTCTCAGCAGTAATTTTTTCGCTAATCGTTCCATATAATTAGAAAAAGTTTAATTTCACTGAACTTTTGTCTTTAATACATTTGAACTATAAGCAAGCGAATATTAACTTGTTTTAATAGAAATATATCTGTTAAACACTAATCGATTTTCATACAATTTGTTCTACAATTTCAAGGCGCAACTCACTTGAGTGTTATGCTGAACGTAAATGAAACCACTAACATAAAAAACACTTCCGAAAAACTTCTTTCATACCACATAGTATACACACACGTTCATGAAATACTTAAAAGACTCAACTGTACGATTTCTGAAGCGTTATACTATTTATTGTCGAAAATTCACTGTGAAATACTGACTCTCTGGCTCCCTACAACTGATGAAAATGCTACATCTTAGTCAAACATTCATAATAATACAAATTGGTAAGCAGTTCTCAATTTAAATAAGTTGCTCTTAGCCTAAAAAAAGCCGATCGATACCTGAAAATGGAGTGGTATGTATGTAGTGAAATCGGTATCACGAATATAAGCTGCTAGAAATGGTGATGCATGGAGTCCTAAAGTACGAATATCAAAAGGTTCGTCTGACGCGTCTGCACAATTTTTAATTCCATCAAGAAATGCGTTCCGATGCCAACATTGACTTCCTTTGAGACAGTGTAATAAATCAGTATCAGATGGACGCTGACAAGAATTGACAGTTTTCTCATCGTCACTGTTGAGAGGACAATCTCTTCTACCATCTCTAATTCGATATGCTGACACCCAATACCCCGATTTTGAGCACACAAATTGTAGCGAGGATCTGTTTTGCTGTAATGTTGTTGTGTTCAATCGCATAGCAAAGGCAAAACGTAAATGCAAGTTGAGAATGAATCCCATCCAGTTCTCTACAATATCATTGTCAAACTCGTTTTGCTCACAGATCACGGTATCGTTGTCAGTAGTAAAACATAGGCGTTCTGGTCTTTTACTAACAGCACCTTTCGATCGACTGACTTCAATATATAAAAATACATTTGTATTCGAGACAATAGACCGTGGTGGAATTTGAACCCAACTCGTTTCATTGGTACATGTGGCTAAAATTAGACGCTCGCAGTCGATAGAAATACCACATAGCTTCCAACAAGCAGCGTGCACATATTTACCAAGACCTAAATGGCACATTATTAATGCCAAGCACAATGATTGATTTTCGTCCCAAAAAAGCTGTCGAAGGTAAACAAAATCGCGCTTAGAAGAACAACTAAAAGAGGACGCAGACCTCTCCAAACTGCAAAAACCATCGCCACACGAAAATCCCAACCAACCACAATTATGCTCTTCGCATTCAACTGAAACTGTTGTGAAGCATCTACATAAAAAGATAGAAATATTTAAAATTTTCAGTCTATATCTGTTTTCTGACATAGCTTTCAATAAATCTCTTGTATAAGTTTTCATCTACACAGATTATTAATATTACTTTTATTATAGGTCTTTTTATCGTGTTTGAATTATTCTTTATACTTACTTTCTTGTAAAGTCGTCTATTGAATCGAGTCGCTCGTCGCTTCTGTCAAGACAATCGTAGACTTTATCAAACGCAAATGCACGTGGTATGCAATGACCACTTTGACATCGATACTCATTACTACCACCTGCACATGTATGTAGTTCCATTTGTGCACATTCTTTTTCATCTTCGCCTTCGGCACAATCAATTATGCCATTACATACTTGGCGCCAATCTAAGCAAATTAACGCATTACATTGTGAAAGACCTATATAGCACGTTAAATTATCAAATAATTCATTCGGGGTTAACATTAAGCTTTTAGAATTAAATTGGTTCATAATAATTTGCTCAAATGATCGATGCGGCTGACTTTGATCATTAGCAAGTGGAAATTCATATTCACAGTATAAACCAAACTGTTCGGCACTTGAGCAGTTGCAAAATAGGCCATGTTTATAATCAGCTCCGTATTGATCGATTAGATCAATAGGCGCTTGCCACATATACAAATCGAAAGTAGTTACATTATTTCGGCGAAGTTCAGCAAATGTTATAGGTGATCCAGTTTGGCATGTACTGACAGAGGTTTTATTGATTGTTCCGTTGAGATAACGACAATACGATATGAGTGATCGAGCACGTTCGCCGGCAGCTTGTATATTCAGTACTTGACTAGGTGCATATGTGTATAAACAGTCATATCGCATCGAAGATTGACTCTCGCTTGTTTTGTACATGTGGTATGCACCTACAGGCACTAATAAATAGTCGATTAAACGTAGGAACACGACTACGTTCATTATCTTAAGGGTGTGGGTGTGAAAAATAGACACTGCATTCACATCCACACACGCGCCCATCCAACACCACCGTTTTCATCTATTACCAAAGTCTACTAAATCTCATCGCCACCTATATTCTCACTCAGCTTTTATGCTCTCTAAATACTAACTTCACTCATCCAAACCTGAAAGTCACTAATTAAACTATTCAATACTCGATAAAAGCGTAAACTCGTAAAAATCAGCAAGACTATAATAGATGCTGTATATTGTTCGATATTATACACTTCGAAACTAATTCTAGGCACTAAATTAAAAGCTTGACCATGGTTATTACTATCAAAACAGTACCATGTCTAGAAATAGTTGATCAATCTATTTGTTTATTTCGACTAAACGATTCAAAGATTTATCTAATGTGACACACATATAACTCATATTTCACTACTAGTAATTGTGGAAGAACTTCATAACAATTACTAGGGGTGTCACTTTAACTTTACTTTAAACGAAAAGCTAAAGTTTAAAGTTGTTTAAAGTTGCTTTAAACTTCTTTATATATTGATTTTAAGCAACTCGAAATTTTACTTTAAACGTAAAGTTAAAGTTAAAGTGACACCCCTAACAATTACTGAAAAAACAATTGAAAACCTTGCTATCCTTTGTCATTTCTTGCTCTTATCACATACTCGCATTTTACCCGGTGGTAAACGCAGATCAAAGTATATTTGAGTCGTTGGCATCGGTGACTGTCGAACTAGTCTTTAACGAGTAAGTGAAGTGTCAGTAATTTTATGCGCAAAAAGGCCAACAGTTTATGATGACCACACTCTGCACTACAAGCAGGGGAACATTTGTATGCCCATAAAAATGTAGTGTCAAAAAATCCGGTTTCGATCAGTCCACGTCACTTTTCCCAATTCACAATACACCCTCCTTCAGTAGACTGTGCAAATGTGGCGCACAGCCGAATTCCTTGCAACGAAATACATCAAGAAATATCTTTTCCTGAAAGTCGATCTTTGATGTTTTTTTGACTCTGTGGACACACAAGCAAGCAAGCAGACAATTAATGTTTGCAAGACTCTTTTCTACGAGAAAGAGAAAATAGATCGATCTAAAAAGGTTTACTCTCTAAATGAGTTAGATAAGGTCTGAAATAGATCAGACCCATCTCCTTTGAACAAATGAGAAAGATCCCACTGAATTCTTTCAAGTTTTATAATCTATTATTTGACTCACTTTTGTTCAACTAAAACTCTAACGAACAATGTCATTTTTGTGCAATAGTTGATCTTCAATATGTAATAAATAAAAGTATTTACCTAATGGTTCATTGTTGAGAATGAATAGAAGAATACTGATAAATATATAGATACTCAGCATCATTGAACAAGATTCTTTTGATAAATTAGTTAACTAATTGAATAACCTTCGTCTTCTTTGTCTTCGATGAATGCCAAATGACACCGATTGTAGATTTTCTCTCTAGTTATATATTTCTCTTTTTCTCTCATTCATTTCTTATAGAATAACATAGAGAGAGAAAAATAGTGTTCTAAAAAAGGTTACGTTGTAGATGAGACAAAGCATTGATTTCAAATTTGACTAGTGAACAAAGTTAATTATTTAACTTGATATTTTCCATTGAATTTCATTGTTTTCGAAAACACAAAATAAAACTTAAATTCGAAATGATTCTTTTCTTTTTTGAATTTTATAAAAAAATCTTTGATTGTAGTGGAGAACAACGTGGAGAAAAGAGAGAAGAATTGATTAATATCGATGTCAATCATCAGACGTGTTTTCAATAAAAATACGATATTAAATATCATCGTCAATAAATGATTGACGTCAATGAATAAATCATGATTTGTTTGATATATTTCTATTTGAACCTGTCAAATAATTTTCTTTATCAGATTTCATTTTTAATAACGTTCTTTGGTTCTCTATGAAATAAGTATCTTTGAGAAAAGTTTCATTTCTTGAATATTTCAATCTGTTCCCGAATAGAAACTCATTAGATACATAAAAAGTAAAAAATCTAGTCGAACTTCTTGTGGTGTGGGTATGGGTGTGATTATGACTGTGGGTGAGGGTGTGAGTAAGACATTAACATCACACCCACATTCACGCTTACATCCGCATCCGCATCCCCATCCTCATACTATACCCACACCCAAATTTTAAGAAAAACATACACGTGGCTATTTTCAAATTTTCTTATCAGTAATTTTCCTCTGTGATGATCACTAAGAGTGAATATAATAGAAAAAAAATAATTTGGAATGACTAAGCTAAATGTACATTTACAGAGAAAAAAATTTCTATTTTTTTTGTCCAGTTTTTATGTCCGTAAACCATTTTTCCATTAATGGATGTGCAGAAAGATCAATAGTCAGATTTCTGCCTATTTTTTTCCCATAATGTTGCATATTCATCAAGATGAAATAGAATAATAGTAAAGTTTTCTTCACTAGCGGCACCAACGTTATATTCAATCATCGGCACACAACATGTGTTACGTTCCTTCGATTCTGTATCATCGATATATTCAATTGTATATTTGCCATATGGTAGTGGATAACCAAGTGCACGTCCAATATCGATCGTATCCATGTATGAAGAGGTAGTCGTAAAAACTTGTTTTACAAGTGAATATTTTTCATGTTTCTAAACATATCAAGTAAAAGAAAAGATCTTTGACAAAACAAATTATTATGCTTACTTTATTCGTGAAGATCCAACCATCTCTGTAAAGTTGTGTCATTGGTGATTTCAATTTCCATAATTCAAATCCTTCTTTTTCTAATTGAAACTCATCAAACAATGGTTTTAATGCTTTCTCAACAAGACCTGTTACATATTCATGCATTATGTAATGTGCTAACAGAGTACACGGTTTGATACCGCATAATGTAGCAAAAATTTCACCATCTAAAGCATAGATAATAATTAGCGTTTATCTTTAGATACAATCAAACTTACATTCCAGTATATGACATGGATCATAATTTTTTAATCGACGTTTGTGGCTCAGAAGTTTCTTCTTGTCATTTGATAATGCTTGTAAATATTCCCATTCCAACGATTTAAATTTGTGAAAAAATGCTATTTTGAAATCAACTATACCATTATCGGCCATCTAACTTGTTTTTGTGTACTCAAAAAGAGAGTACACTTCTAGAATCGGTCAGTGTGTCCGTCCGTCCGTCCGGCCGTATACACGATAACGCTTGAAAGAATAGTCCGATTGAGCTGAAATTTTGTACACAATTCAGTCTCATATAGATCTCGGTCGAGTTCGAAGATGAGCCTAATTGGCCTGACTTCCCGAGTTATTGAAAAAATACTGATATTTCCCTATGATTTTTCTATATTTTTTTTTTGAAAAAATAACATAATGCCATTCTCGTAAGCAGTTTTTCTACTAGAGTCAAATAAAATTCCGCTTATTATGAAGCATTCAATAGAGAATTTCACAGGCTACAAGATGGTACTAAATTATAGGGGTAAACGGGTTGCACACAAGATTGTCCCGGTATAATAGGATGGTTAAACTATAGAAAACTCATATATGTTGATAATGTGTCAGTGCGATTTTTGTTTGTTTTTCATATTACTAATAACACTTTTTCTAGAGTAGATAGTACTCATCAAGAGCTTGAAAATGATGTAAAATAATAGGGGGTAGATATGCTGCCTTCGATATGCCTTTACTATCACACTTGTGAAAAACCATGAAAAAGTCATATAGCTTAATAGTGTGTCTGTGTGATATTCGTTTGTTCTCTGTAGAGTCAACGTTATTTTTATGTATTCGAAAAGTGAAGTTCACAATAGATTGATGTTGATCAATCTGTCTGAAAGAATTCATCCTTGAGCGTACTAAGGAACTGCCCTTAGTCCCTACGGGTGCTCTCTTTTTAGTGTACTCAAAAAGTGAGTATATTACTAGAATTGATCAGTATGTTTGGCCAACCGTTTACATGATACCTTGCGAAAGGAGAGTCAGATATTGATAAAATTTTATACACAATTTAGACTCATAAAGATCTCGGTCGAGTTCGAAGTTGAGCCTAATTGGACGAGCAATTCCCTAGTTATTACAAAAATACTGGTATTTTCCTATGATTTCTATATACACTTTTTGCAGTACACATAACTCTCGGATACAATCCGAAGTTTCCACATTTATTTTTATTTTGATTGACTTTATATCGTACGAGTTAATTAATGATCAAGTATTTCGCGCCTTTCTTTTGACATAATAAATGAAAGTGATAAAGGGTATTTTGATTGAAAAATCAAAAATGACCTATACCGTCTTGAGGGTGTAGGTGTGAATATTAAGTTAATTATCCATACTCACTCCACACTCACACACACGCGCATCCACCACTTACCAATACCCACACCCTCAAGTATATGAAGTATTCATACTGAATTTGATGATTATTTTTGTCGTTTGATCATTACTCATACCAAATAAAATTATAGGTAAGAACATTTTTTTTTCTCATGTTGTGTTTCATATATATGATTCAAATCAAACTTATAAAGAATCAAGTGAAGAAGAAAAGAAATGCTTTAACTTATTCATAATGTGCAAGTCTTAAAGTGAAATAAAAGAGAACTTACAGACTCAACAGTTTTCAAGAAGTATATGAGTATATCTAATTAATCCTCACCCTGATCACCTTCAAGATTAAGGTCCTTCTCAAAGTTTATAGTGCATGCAGAAATTTAAACTATCATTTAGTTTTGTTAATCTATATAAAAAGAAAAATGATTCTCTTAATGTCAGAACAAAAGAGATAATGATAGATAAAGTAAGAAATTAAAAAACTAATTTCACATCATTACGGAATTATCGAATTTCCTCTGACCTTTTCTCTTTATCTGAGTTAAACATGCGCAAT